GTTGACCCGTCCTTCAGTCACTTAGGCTTTTATATATACTAGAGGCCTGGTGGGGGTCCCTCAGCCTGGCCTGCGCCCTCTTGCAATCTGGGACCCCTTGGGGGATGTTGGACTGCCGGTTTCGATCCAATCCCCAACATCCCCTGAGGGATGTAGTAATGTGCAAAGTGGCAGGCGGCTGGGTGCCATGCCACTCCTGCTCATCCCGATCCTGCTGCACCTGCCGCCGCCACCACTCGGTAGCACGCTGACGTGGAGACAGGAGAAGCTCATGCTGCCGCAGATGCAGTCGCCAGCCGTGAGCCCAGTGTCTGGCGCCCATCAGTCAGCTGAGCGGCGCTTCCGCTGTGGGAGCACACTGACAACCAAGGGACAGCTCCAACACTGAGCGCCTGACCCCTGGTGGTCAGTGCGCATCATAGTGACCAGTTGACCAGTCGTTCCGTCACTTAGGCTTGATAGATAGATAGATAGATAGATAGATAGATAGATAGATAGATAGATAGATTGATTTCTGAAGTGACAAATTTTAGAAATGGGGAATAGCTTACTGGGGAAGTGAGGAGACAGCAGGAAGAAGGTTAGTGTGGCTATAAAAGGGAACACTGGGGGTTCCTTGTGGTGACAGGCCATTCTGTATCTTAACTGTGGTGGTGAATACATATACCTACCTACTCATGTTATACAACTGGATAGAACCACACACACACTCACACACAGAGATGAGAACAAGAAAAACTAGGGAAATCTGAATAATCTGTGGATTGCATCAATGTCAATATCCTGGTCATGATACTCTACTATTCAATTTTGTAAGATGTTACCATTGGGTGAAGGGTACATGGAATCTGCTATTTCTTATACTGTATGTGAATCTAAACTATAAAATTAAGGTTAAAAACCGAAGGCCACAATGTTATTCAATTATATCTCAATTTTATTTAAAATCCAGCTAAAAAATCAAAAGGCCCTGTTTATATGGAAATCTTCCTCAATTCTTTCTCCTTTGCTGTCATATTTAAACCCATCTCTGCGTGCTCTTTATATTCAAGGTGAGAAGCCTCAATTTTGCCCTCAAGTAATTTATAATTCTGTGAAATAGGACAAGAATTCCCCCCCCCCCAAAAAAACATAATGCAAGACAGATTATTTAGAATATTAAATGCCACAAGAGAGACATAACAGATGAATGGATAAATGTGTCATATCCATATAATGGAATATTATTCAGCCACAAAAATGTATGCAAATCTGCACTGGCCAGTTTTCTCAGTGGTTAGAATGTCAGCCCGTGGACCAAAGGGTCATGGGTTTGATTCCCAGTCAAGGGATGTACCTGGTTTGCAGGTTGCAGGCACATGCAGGAGGCAATCAATCCATGTGTCTCTCTCATGTCAATTTCTCTTTCTCTCCTTCCTTCTCACTCTCCCAACTCCACTCCCTTCCCCCTCCCTCCCTTCTACTCTCTCTAAAAATTAATGGAAAAAAATATCCTAGGGTGAGAATTTTTTTAAAAAAATATTAAAGGCTTAGAATTTTTTTTTAAATATGGCAATCTGATACATGCTGCAACTTGGATGAATTCTGAAAATACCAGTATTATGCAAAGTGTCTGATACATTCTACAACTTGGATGAACACTGAAAATACTATGCTAAGTGAAATAAGCCAGAATCACACAAGTACAAATACTGTATGATTCCACTTATTTGAAATATCTGGAATAGGCAAATTCATAGAGGCAGAAAATAGATAAGAGGTGCCCGGGGGCTAAGGAGAGAATGGAACAGGAATTATTGTTTAATGGTTACAGGATTTCTATTTGGAATGATGAAAAGATTTGGAAATGGTGATGATTGCACAACACTGTGAATATACTTAATGCCACTGAGTTGTACACTTAAATTAGTTGAAATACATATTGTATGTTATATTTTGCTACAATAAAAAAAAAAGAGAATTTCATAGCAGCTTAATTAATATTAGCCCAAACCTGAAAAGCCCAGGTGTTAATCAGTAGGAGAGTGGATGAGCAAACTGTGATACTATGCAACACTACTCAGCAATAACCACAAAATAGTAATGATAAATCTCAAAATATTATGCTGAATGAGAGCAAAAGTATACAAACTATATGATTCCATTTATATGAAGTAAAACAAGCAAAATAAATCAGAATAGTGGTACTTCTGTGTGTGTGTGCTGGGAGCAGAAATGAAAGAACTGGGAAGAGAAATGACTGGGAAGAGAAATGAAAGAACTTTCTGGGGGGATAGAAATGCTCTGTATCTTGAGAGGTTACACAGGTAAATGCACTTGTCAGACCTCATCAAAGCGTGGAATAAGATCTGTGCACTTCGCTAATGTAAGAAATAAAAGAATCACAAAAAATACTGAACTCTAGAAAAACCAAGATGGCGGCATAGGTAAACACTGGAAATTGCTGCCTCGCACAACCACTTCAAAAATACAACTAAAAGACAAAACAAACATCATCCAGAACCACAGGAAGGCTGGCTGGGTGGAAATTCTACAACTAGAAGGAAAGAGAAAAGCACACTGAGACCCAGAGGAGCTGCAGAAGTAAAGTGCAGAGGTACGGAGACGCGCGGAAAGGGCTGGCAACTGAGGACGCAGCGCACGTGGAAAGGGCTGGCAGCTGAGGACACAGTTGTCTTTTTCAATCGGGAGGGAATCTCAAGCTCCCGACTGTTCTGAACTCCAGTTCCAGGCGAGTCTCTGGGGACCCACACTCATACGGGAGAAAATGGACTGTCTGGCATCAGTCAGAATTCGAGGGCAGCTTTCTCTCAGAGGTGCTTGCAGCAATTACCGGGACACTGAGAAGAGGGCCTCTTAGGGCAGGACTGAGGAGCAGCCACAGCTGCTTGGTCCGCCCTGTTGATCCCCTGAAACCCTGCCCCACCCAAGCTGTGAGCAGAGGCTTTTGCATATGAAAGGCTTGGCCCTTTGCAATCTGAAAATTACCTAACAAACTGCAGCTGGGTCAGAGAGAACCAGAACATCCAAAAGAAGGCCGAGGCCCCACAGAAGCTTCCATTGCTTCACAGCTGGGCCCCTGCTGGGTAGCCTCAGGCAGATAATAAATTAGCACCTCCTTAGAGATCCAAGAGCCAGTGTACCCAGTGGTCAGAGTGGGACCATCAACATTACAACTCCTCAGAACCATAAGGGACACACTCAGGGGGCAGACTCAGTGAGCACCAAAGCCCCACTGAAGCAAGTCTTGCCCCAGAAGGGTGTCTCCAGCACAGAAGTTCTCCCACTGCAGACATAGCTCATTCTCACAGCCAACTGGCCTGGAGGTCAATTCCTCCCAGTGATACCTACAACAATCAAGGCTTAACTACAACAAGACTGTGCACACAGCCCACAAAGGGGTGCACCAAGAGTGTCCACCTCCGATAATTGGGGAGGCTGAGCAACTGGGTCCTATAGGACACCTAGCACAGAAAGCCACTCTATCAACACAGGGAAGCAGCCAAAATGCAGAGACAAAGAAACAGGTCACAATGACAGAAATGGAGGAAAGCAAACTACTGGATATAGAGTTCAAAAACCACACTTATAAAGTTTTTCAAGAATTTTCTAGAAACTGCCGATAAATTTAGTAAGACCCTCAAGTGTCTAGTGAGACCGCCGATAAACTTAGTGAGACCCTCAAGCAATCTAGTGAGACCCTCGAGGATATGAAAAAGGACCAACTAGAAATTAAGCATACACTGACTGAAATAAAGAATATTATACAGAGTTCCAACAGCAGACTAGAGGATCCCAAGAATCAAGTCAAAGATTTGAAATACGAAGAAGCAAAATCACCCAACTGGAAAAGCAAAAAGAAAAAAGAATCCAAAAATATCAAGATAGTGTAAGAAGCCTCTGGAACAACTTCAAGCGGACCAACATCCGAATTATAGGGGTGCCAGAAGAAGAGAGAGAGCAAGATATTGAAAACCTATTTGAAGAAATAATGACAGAAAACTTCCCCCACCTGGTGAAAGAAATAGAATTACAAGTTCAGGAAGCACAGAGAACCCCAAACAAAAGGAATTCAAAGAGGACCACACCAAGACACATCATAATTAAAATGCCAAGAGCAAAAGACAAAGAGAGAATCTTAAAAGCAGCAAGAGAAAAACAGTCAGTTACCTACAAGGGAGTACCCATATGACTGTCAGCTGATTTCTCAACAGAAACTATGCAGGCCAGAAGGGAGTGGCAAGAAATATTCAAAGTGATGAATACCAAGAACCTACAACCAAGCTTACTTTACCCAGCAAAGCTATCATTCAGATTTGAAGGTCAGATAAAGAGCTTCACAGATAAGAAAAAGCTAAAGGAGTTCATCACCACCTAACCAGTATTATATGAAATGCTGGAAGGTATCCTTTAAGAAGAGGAAGAAGAAGAAAAAGGTAAAGATAAAAATTATGAACAACAAATACACATCTATCAACAAGTGAATCTAAAAATCAAGTGAATAAATAATCTGATGAACAGAATAAACTGGTGAATATAATAGAATCAGGGGCATAGAAAGGGAGTGGACTGACTATTCTCGGGGGGAAAGGGGTGTGGGAGGTGCGGGAAGAGACTGGACAAAAATCGTACTCCTATGGATAAGGACAGTGTGGCGGCGGGGGGGGGAGACGGTAAGGGCAGAAGGTGGGGTGGGAACCAGGTGGAGGGGAGCTATGGGGGGAAAAAAGAGGAACAACTGTAATAATCTGAACAATAAAGATTTAATTAAAAAAAATACTGAACTCTAATGATATACTGAACTGTTTAGGGGTGAAATATACTTTAAATTGCAACAAGAATTATGGACTGAGGGATGGACAGATTGATAAGTGTGATAAAGCAAATACAGCAAAGTGTTAATAATCATAAAATATAGGTGATGGGTACATAGGTGTTCACCATATAATTATTTCAAGTATGAAAATATTGATAATAAAATGTTTGGAAAATACACATACCAACAAAACAGTTGTTTCTCTTCTTCTCAAGAACTTGGCTTATATTTCTAATGCTACAGAGTGAGAATTTATTGTTGTTCAGTTTGTCCCCAGATGTTGCTCTTGCATACATGATGTAATTGCCATTTTCTTTTTGTCCCAAATTCTTAGATTCTCCTGGAGTGCACTCTGTTCCAGAATCATGCTGTCGAACAGAATACAGAGTTACATAAACAGGGAAGTAAAATAAGGTTTTCAGGTCATCTGATTAAATGTAATTTTTTCATCAGAAGAACAATGAAAGCTTGTAGACTCTCCTTTAGAAAAGATCTTACAATTGTTTTAGACTATGAGGCTGAAAACAATCTGCTCTTTTAAGGCTGTTATGTTAGAAGGGAAGGAAAAATCAGTGAAGCTCTAACCACAACTTATATAGCTTTCTAAGTAGGTAGCAGAATGGAGGACAAATTATCATAAAAGTCTATTAAAAATTAGTTCACCTACTTTTAAAAGTAGTAGGAGGAATATAAACTACTTAAAAACTACTAAATATTCATTAAAATACATGTTAGGGCCAGTTCAGAGAAGACAGAATTGGGAAAGACAGGAAACAAAAGAGAATGGTATGGGGTTAAGTACATACAGTATAGGCATCTAAGAGAGTTGAGAATTTACTATTATGTAAGAAAGGTAAGTAAATGCTGAGTAGGAATAGAAACACAATGATCCATTTTTAAATACAAATTAAGAAAAGCCTCGCCCTGACCAGTTTTGCTCAGTGGTTAGAGCGTCGGCCTGTGGACTGAGGAGTCCCAGGTTCGATTCCGGTCAAGGGCGTGTGCCTTGGTTGCGGGCACATCCCCAGTGGGGGGTGTGCAGGAGGCAGCTGATCGATGTTTCTCTCTCATGGATGTTTCTAACTCTCTATCCCTCTCCCTTCCTCTCTGTAAAAAATCAATAAAAGAAGGAAGGAAGGAAGAAAGGAAGGGAAGGAGGGAGGGAGGGAGGAAGGGAGGGAGGGAGGAGGGAGGGAGGGAGGGAGGGAGGAAGGGAGGAAGGAAGGAAGGAAGGAAGGAAGGAAGGAAGGAAGGAAGGAAGGCAGGCAGGCAGGCAGGCAGGCAGGCAAAGCCAAGAGGTAAAACCAAAACACTGCTTTGTGGAATAAAACAGGAGACATACTTGTCTATGTACAGAAATAGTTTACGGTGTTGGTAACTATTCCTGAAGTATCAGATAAATACAGTAAAGCACCAAACCACAGCTCCATGAACTTTCTCAAAGTAAATACACTTACATGGCCAGCACTGAGATTGGGAAAGAGAACACTACCAGATCACAGCAGGTCTCCCCAGCTCCTGGGGTATCGATATACATTTAAAAACAAAACAGCCCACCAGCTGGCTCAGTGGTTGAGCATCAACCTATGAACCAGGAGGTCACGGTTCGGATTCCCAGTCAGAGCACATGCTCAGGCTCGATCCCCAGTGTGGGGCATGCAGGAGGTAGCTGATCAATGATTCTCTCATCATTGATGTTTCTCTCTCTCTCCCTCTTCATCTCTGAAATCAGTAACAATATATTTTAAAAACAAAACCACCTCACCATGCTCCAAAAACAATTCAGAACTTGTCAGTAAGGATGAAAACAATGGGTCCTAGAGTAATAGTTCTATTTATAATTAAATTGTTTTGAATGCCAGACAACCCTACTCTCCAGAAAGAAAAGAACTGCCCATAACCATTCTGTTTCTTCCCAGAATCCATCTAAGTAACTTTCATTTTCTACTCCCTAATCTGAAGCAACTATTAAAGCAACTGCTTTCACCTTTATTCTTCCTGATACCTCTTGCCTTTCTCCTAAACCTAGGTTCAGCATTTAACAACTCTTTACTATTCATCAATATTTTCTTGCATATAGCAAGAAAATATTCATTTTATAGAATTTAATTTGGTTTTTCATAATATATGACACCAGAATTATTCTCAGCATTAGAATTTTAGAAAGAGAAAGACCAAAAAAAATACCAATACTGTTTAATTCTTGATGTAATCACAGAATATCTTATCATCTTTCAATTGAATAACTATAGGTGTTGTGTTCAATATCAAACAAGAAAAAGCTGAAATACAATATGACAATATAAAGATGAGTTAAGCACTGTCAGTAGCCCTCAAAGGACTTACATTCTATTTTAAAGGGCTAGCAAATTTCGATATCTCTGCATAGTCTGTTCTCTGCCTCATAAAGCCCCATAAATCCATTATAGATATCACTAATTATTATTTTTTAACCCAGAGGAGACTGTAATGGATCATAGCCAACAAATTATAAACATGTATGCCAGCTATTTGTCATCCTCATACTAGGGAATAAACATTGCACACAAATAAGCAAAACAGAAAACAGAAAATAAAAGCTACTTGACTATACCCACAAAAAGTGCTGTGAGAGTTCAAATAAAGAGAATATAGCTTCGCAAAGAAACTATAATCTTAGTTTGATAAGAAAAAAGAAAAGCTTATTCCTGACTATGAAAATAACATATATTCCTTTAGAAATTTTAGAAAATAAAAAATGGATAAAGAAAAATTCAATCACAATCCACCAACCACAATGAGTATAATTAACATTTTGGTCAATTTCCTACATGACTTGTATCTAGTAATATAATATTTTAATACAAAATTTGGGCTATACTCTGTGTTTGGTTATATAAATGGTTTCTTTCAGTTTAACAGTATAAGGTAAGCATTTAAAAGCTTTATTTTTAAATGATGGCAGAGCATTCCATGATACTTTGCTAGTGTAGAGGCACTTAGGCTGTTTAAAATTGTTTGCTATAATAAAATAGCCATGGATACCTTTTCTTTCTTTTGTTGAAATGTACACAAATCATTGACAGATTGTGCATTTATTACTTTTAGTTGGATTCCCAGAGGTAGAATTACTCAGTAAAAAGGTCAAACATTTTAAGGGTCTTGATACACACTGCCAAACTGCCTGTCAAAAGGGCCACACTAATTTACATTATATAACAGCAAGGATCAAGCTTTCAACAGGCAGACATGAGAAGAAACTGGCTTCCTGACAGAAGGAAAGTTTTAAAGAACTGTAAATTACTTAATTTGACAAGAGAGGGGAGAAAACATTGAAAATATACTTGGACCCAAATTATGGAAATCCCTAAATGCTAAGATAAGGAAATTGTATCAATAGGTACTAGTACTAGAAGTAAGCTATTAACAGAAGTAACAGGATCAGAATGATCAGAACTATACCTAGACAAAGACTAATCTGATAATAGTGGGCACATATTAGAATTTTCATATTGAGACAAAATTTGTGTCATTTATGATTACAACTTCCCACAACAACGCTTATAAAATGGTTAACAATAGGTGTGCAATAAATATTTGGGACAGGATAAATATAAGGGATAGTGTGAACCACTCATAGAGAAAGTAATATTGACATAGTATATAGATTTACAACAGGAGAAATAAAGACAGATTTCAGGTAAAGAAAAGAAGGAAGATAGGCTCAGGAATTTATGGCTCTAGCTGATCTTACTATTAAAATGCCTAATAAATATTTACTAAGTACCTACTATGTATATGAATGGTAACATGAACAACATGCACAAAGGAATGGGGGTGTGTTTAAGCATGGTAGAGCCATTAAAACTAGTCTGATGTTGAGATAGGGTATGTGGCAAAAGGGATGTAACCAATATGGGATATAAGGACTATCAGAGAGATAGTAGGACCAACCCCCAATGGATTTATGGCTTAGAACCAACAGAAGGCCAGGTCATCCAACAGAGACTAATTTCACCTTCCAGTAACCCTTAGCCTCATTATTCTCTCATTGTAATACATTAGCATACTAAACAACCACCCCCCTCCCCCCGCCCCCCCCCACACACACACAGAGAATGCAAAGCCCATATAAGGATATAAAATGGCCAACTGTTCTCCCAAGAATCTCCACCCCTTTCCCAGAAAAATCCTGAATATTCTTCCCCCTTATTGAATGCCCTACTCCCCAATTAAATGAGCTCCAATAAAGGGAGCAAATCCCACTAGGGAGTGGCTGCTCTACTGTGGAGTAGCCACTCTGTCTCACTACTTCACTTGTAAACTCTTTCACTTTAAAGTCTATGCTGGCTTGAAACTGAGTTCTTACCTGCTCCAAACCAAGAACCCCACAGTGGTCACAAATCATCAGATCCCCAGGCCCCTGAAATGCCCAAATCAGTATGACAGGAAAAGATGGCAAGAGAGACAAAATGTGTCAACCAATTTATCCATTAAGCAATAAGCAATAAGTAATATAACATTAATATACTAAAAACACCTCTCCAGCAACTGGTAGGGGATGGATTAGACAGGAAGTGAAAAGAGAATAGATTCAATTCCCTACTCCAAGTGTGGTCCACAGACCAGGAGCAACCGCATCAGAGGGTTTCTTAGAAATGTGCAAATTTGTGCCTCACCAAAGACTCACTGAACTACAATCTGTATTTTAAGATCCTCAGTAATTTATATGCTTTGAGAGGACCTAGAGTAAAGTATAGAAGAGCAGGGAGAGAAGAGAGGACATTTGATTGTCCTGGAAAATGCAAATTAACTGTGAACAACAGTTCTCTGCTCATCTCTAAAAATTTCAATTACTCTTTTAAGACAGATCACCAAAGCAGTCAAAAGATAGGGAGATTTAAATACATTTTAAATACTTTTTCCAAGAGTATTGATAATAATCTATCAATTTCAGATAGGACTTAGAAGAGGAAAGATTTGCAACTTAGTGAGATGCCATTACATTTTACAAACTGAAGAAAATTAGAGAAACACATTTAAGGATTTGAAACAACTGTATATATTTTCCAAAACTCATAAAAATTTCCATTTTTACAAGTGTTAAGATACAAGTAAAATAAATTAACATATGAAAATTTCCCAAACTTATTAAAATCCTATCAAAAATTTCCCGAACTTATTAAAATCCTATCAAAATCACAAAGAACATATTCCAGTACTTTGCATTTCTGTGTGTATTAATCGTTAGGTCACTTGAAAATCAATACAATGAAATGGATATTAAATGATACCAAAGAATTGTTAATTTTGTCAGATACAATCACACTGTGGTTATGTAAAAAAAAAGTCTATTTTCTTAAGGAATGTATACTAAAATATACAAGAATGAATGAATTTGCTTCAAATACCTTACAAAGAAAAAGGAAGAAATACAGAAAGGAAATGTAGCAAAATCCTGATAATTGTTGAATCTGAAACAGAGGCTGAATCTGAATGCAAGCCACAACCAGTTTTAATATAGCCTAAGCTAAAAATGGTTCTCCCATGTATAAAGGACTGTAAAAACAACAAAGAAAAATATACAACTGAAATGTTACCCCCAAAACCTAGATTACTCACTAGCTAGCCCTATACAGAAAAAGTTTGCTGACCCCGTTCTGGATGATGAGCATATCAATCTCATTCCACAGTAGAGAAAGACAAATCTAGTAAGCCCCAATAATACTTTAACAGAAACCAAGCAAAACACCTACTCCACAATTTCCTAACATTCAAAATATATTTTAAATAATTAAAAATTATTCTCATTCAATGAATATTTGAATAAATCATGTAACAGGCACTGTTCTAGGGCCAGGATACATAGAAGTGAATGAAAAAGACAAAATCCCTTACCTTCATAGAATTCTGGCTTTGTTAGGTTGACTTTTCTTATTTTAATCACAAATATTTTACTTTCCTTCCCTTCTATATGCTCAAGTACATGACTGTTCTGACATAAAAGCATTCATACATACTTAATTTCATTGTAAACAAACAAATCACTGACATAAAAGGTAGGTTAATAACTTTTATTATTTTATTTAAAATGTAGTAATTATGCAATACTTACTGGAGATCCAAAGTTATGTCCAACTTCATGAGCAAAAGTAATGTGAGAGACTTTGGGAGGTACATGAGACCCATAGTTCTGAACAGTAATAATTCCAGTGTTTAAGGACTTCTTCTTACCATCTGAATAGAGCTTACTTTTTTCACATATTCCTCCAGAGCTTCCTAATTCAGAGCAAAAGATGGCTAAATTAATATCTATTTCACCCAAAAATAACTTTCTAATATATGCTATATTAAATTAAGACATTTTATATTTTGAGTCCAAAATACAACTGGTACCCACATATATCAAATACTCAAAAGTTTCTTTGGTCCACGATTAGGAAGTCATTTCAAATAAAAGCTTTAATGAAGAAACTCCCAGGATTGAGTACAAAGCCCTTATAAAAATTTCCTCTTCATAACCAAAAGGTCCCCAAATTTTTGCTCCAAATAATTTAACAAAATAAATACTTTCGTTTCTGTTAAATTTGAATATATCAGTATTTACACTGAGTCAAAACCTACACCTTTTATCTTTTACAAAGAAAACTTTTAAGTTCACAAAAGTTGAATAAAATATTCTTAAGTAGATTCTGAGAAACTCACTTCTACAAATAAAAGCAGTGATGCACAGGAGTATGTACGTGATTCACTATCTATCCTGAGCGACAAGATACAATTTTTTTTGTTTTTTAAAGAACTACGGTTGCCAAGGTATAGGGGTGTGGGAGGTGGGAGAAGTAGGGAGAGGTTGGTAAAAGGTATAAACTTTCAATTATAAGATGAATAAGGTTTCATAATGTATACAAATAGCAAATCAGGATAATGTACACTTCAAATATCTTACAATTTTGTTAATTATACCTCAATAAAGCTAAAAAGAATTATGCAAAACGGGTAAAAAAGTACAACAAAGGGAGGAGGGAAGGTAGGGAGGGAGAGCAGAATGTTAATTATCAGATATTCATTGTAGTACTCTTGCAACCTTTTGGCATGTTTAAAACTTTTTTCAAAATAAATTCAAAAAATTAAATTATGATTTTCTGATGTATCTTGAGAACACTTTCAAATTTTAAAAGGAAACCCATATTTTTACTTATACCTATTAAGTCGTTTTATAGTCGTTTATACCTATTAAGTCATTAATAGTTCCTGAACTTCAGAGTTTAATTCCAAAATGAAAGTGCTTTCATATCTAAGGCAGTTAACATAAGAAATTAGAAAAAGAACATGAAATTCAGAAACAGGCTGGCCAATCCATGTCTTTATTTACATTGTACTAAAAAAAACATAGTTCTCCTAACTATTGAAGATTTTTAGTGAGAAGTTCTTTAGTTTATATTCACATTTAAAAGGTTTCTCTATTTGAATTTTTGTTAAAATACAATCAAATGGATTATTCTGATAACTGATCAAATTACTTCAAATTAGCTGTGTATGCAAAGTTAGAACCAAGTCATTAAATCATTTTTAAAAACCTAATATTTAAGCCAGCCACTCAGTGGTTGAGCATCAACCTATGAACCAGGAGGTCACGGTTTGATTCCCAGTCAGGGCACATGCCCGGTTGTGGGCTTGATCCCCATTGGGGGATGTGCAGGAGGAAGCTGATCAATGATTCTCTCTTATCACTGATGTTTCTATCTCTCTCTCCCTCCCCCTTCCTCTCTGAAATCAATAAAAAAAATACTTTAAAGAAAATAAATATATATATATATTTTAAAACCTAATATTTACAATCTCTAATAAAGCATATAATAAAAAGCAATGAAAAATAGATCTGCACAAATGGCATGATACAACTGCTGTCTTGTTCCTTTTAAAATCAGAAAGTATATGGCAGCAAAACATAAATTTAAATTACCGTTATGATATAATTTAGGAAGCTGAGATGATAATGTGCTTCACAGAAAAATAAACTGAAAGACTGGGGTACACGCAGATTTTAACCAGCAAGGGATTGAGAATCGTTATGATAGTCAAAACTTACTATCTTTTCTACACAGAAAACTGAATAAAAAAGGAAAAAGCTAATGAATAATGAATAATTAATGTATTTTCTTAAGATACCTCTACTTTTAGAGATGAGTCCTAAGGACTATATCACTATTTCTAGAAAGTAGGAAAGATAGGACTCAGCACTCTGTATAATAATAATAATAGTATACATGTTATATAGTTTTGAACAAATAGTAAATTAATATCCTGCCTTAGCGAAGATTTGTCATATGCAAATTGGTCCAATGTAGTACTGTCAAACTTGAATTAAGCATAGAAGACTCCACACTGCAAATTTATCAGTTAAAAAAAAGTAGAGAGCATATATTAAAAACTCTGATAATATACTTTTCTGTATTTTTAAGATCTACCTAGTATAAGAGAAGTTCAGACATATACATGAGAGTACTTTTCTGAAATGTAGCCTTTGTAATTCATATCTTATTTAATGTTTTAAGCAACTGCTTTTGGTCTATTATTATAGGAAAAGTTCATAGTTGTTACAGGCTAATAGAATATGTTAGAATAACTCAATTATACAGAAGGAAATAGAATACTGTATCTAATTTTATAACTTATAGTTTAATTTTCTAATACTGTAACTAGTTTTGATATGCCAGAAACTCAATTATTGGTAAGATATCATATATACTTATAAATAAACCATAACTAAAGTTGAGCAATTGCTTTATATTATAAATTTAAGATTTTACTATGTATGTCATCATTGAAAAACACAATTGTGAATAACAATGAGAAGGGTGAAATGTAAAATTAAAAAAACTACAAAGGTAATAAAATATCTTGACAGAATCTAAAAATACAATTTTGATGTGAGCAGACCTAAGTACCTAAAACTTAATAGTAATATGCTGACGATACAATATTGATCTGAGCTGTAATTCTGAAACACAGTAGTACCACTGCCAGATAGGTTATTAAAAAATATCCGAGGGCATTTCTTTGTCTTTCATGTCTGGGGACAGTACTCACATGTAATGAGTAGGGACCACAGATGTTAAACATCCTGCAAAGGACAATCCAGACCTGAATAAAATGCCAATATTAAGTGCTCTGTTGCAACATTCTAATGATGTAATTCTCCTAACCTTGTAAATAGACTTTTAAACAACAGGTTAAGAATTCAATAAGCTGTTGGTTATCTTGAGAACCCATGATAAGCTCTGTATGTCCTCAAATCCTAATATGTAAAATTAAGTGAAAGTTTCTAAAATAAGAAAAACAGAAGAGACTATTTCTACCAAATGAAATGTCTCAAAAAATATTCTTCAAATTTAATGAACAACATAAACTGAAAAAAAAAAATAGAGCCAGAGACACAGAAGCATCGAACAGACTGTCAAACTTCAGGGGGGGGGGGGGGGGGGGAGTAAGAGATCAACCAAAGGTCTTGTATGCATGCATATAAGCATAACCAATGGACACAGACACTAGGGGGAGGGGAGGGCATGTGCTGGGGGGTGGGGGTGGCCGGGGATAGGTCAATGGGGAAAAAAGGAGACTTATGTAATACTATATGTAATACTTTAAACAATAAATAATTTTTTAAAACTGCTTTTCACAAATGGTCAGAGGAATACTGAATGGTTCAGGATTAACTATGAGAGGAATTCCAAAGCTAGTGTTATTTAGTGACCTACTGATAAAATTAAGATGGATAATATATGAGCAGAATGTACTTAATTATCCCCCTAAAAAAATGGCCCCTCAAAAGGTGTGTTATAAGAATATAGCAAGTAAAGTAGAACAAAGAAATTATTTAATATAAATAATTTACTTTGCTAAGGAACTAATGTTTCAGTCTCTAAATTAAATAAGAGGCTACCTGCTTAACAGAGAACTGTGCTTATATAAAGTTCAGAGTAATTTTTCCAGATTCATATTCAAGATTGACTTTGTTTTGGAGACCAGACTCCCTTTATTGGGCTCTCTTTAAGGCCCAGTATAATATTTTTATGTTTTTGTTAATCTTCACCCGAGGATATTTTTTACATTGATTTTTTAGAAAGAGTGGAAGGGGGGGAAGGAGTAGGTAAAGGAGGAGAGAGAATGTGAGGGGGGCGGAGGGAGAGAGAGAAACATCAATGTGAGAGAGACACATCAATCAGCTGCCTCCAGCATTTGTCCCAACCAGGGCTGGGGATCGAACCTGCAATCCAGGTGTGTCCTTGATCAAAATTCAAACCTGTGACTCTTCAGTGCAAAGGCTGATGTTCTAAGCACTGAACCACAGACCAGGGGGACAGTACAATTTTAAACTGGAGCCTCCAAGTCAGCCCAATTCGTTAGTTGTTTCTACTTATTACAGAGTTGAGGCAGAAGGTACTATTTTCCTCATTAACAAAACCCAAGACAGCACCCAACTATAGTATGAAATTTAATACAAACAAAAAGTAGTGTAAAAAAGACTTGAAGACAGAAAACCTACTATTCAAATGTTTCAACCTTCATTGTTTTCCCTGGCTTAACTGAGTCAGTGAAGGGAAAATAGCTAATAATTTGAGTTATTGTTCTGTGAAAATTAACATAATAATATCACAATAAAATCTTTTCCACTACCATATATTTGAATAGTGAAATATCTACAGAAGTTAAGCTAAATAATGCACCAGAATCAAAATTAATTAGTCCAAATAAAAATGAGAATAGATTAAGAAACAGAAACAGATCGTAATTTGAGCTATGAAATGCTATGAAATGCTATTTTAAAAAACAAACAAGATAACAGCAAGCATTACTAAGATCTATAGGCAGAAACATGAAGTCTCAAAGGAAAGGGCAAAGACAGAACATATTGAGGTGAAAAATAAACAAATTGAAGCAAAATGATTTACCTGAATTTACAGAAACAGAATGGACAAGTACCCAGTCTCATAGCTCCCAATTCAGTGCTCTTCCCATCATGTCATAACAGTTAACTAAAATGATATTAAATATTATAGAGTAGTACTTATTTTATAACTGCTCTCTCTTAAGCCCTGACCAGTTTGGCTCAGGGGATAGAGTGTCGGCCTGTGATCTCAGGGGTCCCGGGTTCGATTCCGGTCAAGGGCATGTGCCTTGGTTGCGGGCGCATGCCCGGTGAGGAGTGTGCAGGAGGCAGCTGATCGATGTTTCTAACTCTCTATCCCTCTCCCTTCCTCTCTGTAAAAAATCAATAAAATATATATTTTTTTTAAAAAAAGAAAATGATTTCTAACAATATAAACAGTTTACCAAGATGCAGAAAACATTTCAACTTATTAGAAATGCATTAGAGCCGAAACCGGTTTGGCTCAGTGGATAGAGTGTCGGCCTGCGGTCCCAGGTTCGATTCCGGTCAAGGGCATGTACCTGGTTGCGGGCATATCCCCAGTGGGAGATGTGCAGGAGGCAGCTGATCGATGTTTCTCTCTCATCGATGTTTCTAACTCTCTATCTCTCTCCCTTCCTCTCTGTAGAAAATCAATAAAATATATTTAAAAAAAAAAAAAAAAAAGAAATGCATTAGAAAGACACAGCTAGAATATTACAGTATATAATACCTAGTAAAGTAACTACCAAATGCACTAAACCTGGAGTCAAAGGTCCAGATTCTAGATTCTGTATGATACTGGGTTGGTCAGTCTCTGAACTTAAGTTTTCTCATATTCTCCAAAAAGGACACACAGATGGCCAAAGACACATGAAAAGGTGCGCAACATCACTAATCATCAGAGACAGACTCAAATTAAAACCACAAGATATCATTTCACACCTACCTACATGACTACCATCAACAAATCAACAAACAACAAATGCAGGTGAGGATGTGGAGAAAAAGGAATCCTAGTGCACAATTGGTGGCAATGCAGACTGGTGCAGCCACTGTGGAAAACAGTATGGAGTTTCCTCAAAAAATCTAAAAAATGGAACTGTCTTTTGATCCAGCAATCCCATTGCTGGGAATATATCCTAAGAATCCTAAAACTCCAATCAGAAGGAACATATGCACCCCTATGTTCACATCAGTGTTATTTACAATAAGCAAGATCTGGAAACTGCCCAAATGTCCATTGGTAGGAGGTGAGTGGATAAAAAAAGTATGGTACATTCACACGATGGAATACTATGCAGCTGTAAAAAGGAAGAAACACTTACCTTGTGTAACAGCATGAATGGACCTGGAGATTATAATGCTAAGTGAAATAAACCAGTCAGAGAAAGCAAATACCATATGATCTCACTTATATGTGGAATCTAATGAACAAAATAAGCTGATGAACAAAACAGAACCAGAGTCATGGATACATGGTATTCTGACAAATGTCAGAGGGAGGTGGGTGTGGTGGGCGAGATGAAAGAAGGTGAAAAGAATCGCCAGAGAACAGATATGCATAACCCATGGACACTGACAAAAAGTGGTTAGGGCCAAAGGTAGAGGAGAACAGGGTCTAGGTGGAGAGGAACAAATGGGAGAGAAAATGAGGTCTATCTCTAATAATGTCAACAATAAAAGTAAATTTTTTTTTAAAAAAAAGAAGCTTTGGTGAGGAGAGATTAACCAGAGAACTTATATGCATATATGCATAGCCCATGGACACAGATAATAGTGTGGTGAAGGCCTGGGAAGGGTGAGTATGGGGTGAAGGGGTCTAAGGGAGGGATATCTGTAATATTTTCAACAAGAAAAATAAATTTAAAAAAGGAAGCTTAGGAAATTGTTAAAAGGATATACATTACTAGCTTAAAAAATAGAACTAGAGCCCAGTGTGACTCAGTTAGTTGAGCGTCAACCCATGCACCAAAAGGTCCCCAGTTTGATTCCTAGTTGGGGCACATGCTGGGGTTGCGGGCTGGATCCCCAGTAAAGGGAGTGCAGGAGGCAGCCAATCAATGTTTCTCTCTCTCACTCTCTCCCTTTCTCTCCAAAAAATCATTTAAAAATATTTTTTTAAATTAAAAATAGAGCAAGAAATAGAAAAGCGAAAGTATAGTACAAAAGATGCTAAAGTATGCATAACAAATCATAGAATAAACTAATAAAAATCGATACTAATAAAAGGGTAATATGCTAATTAGACCAGACATCTTCTGGACATCCTTCCGGGTGTCCTTCTGGATAAAGCCATGGTGGCGGGGGCCGAGGCAGAACCAGTTAGGAACAATCAGGCCGGCAGGGGAGGGCAGTTAGGGGGTGATCAGGCCGCCAGGGGAGGGCAGTTAGGGGCAATCGGGAGGGCAGTTAGGGGCGATCGGGCGGGCAGGGGAGCAGTTAGGGGGCGATCAGGCAGGCAGGCAGATGAGCGGTTAGGAGTCAGCGGGCAGAAGTCAGCAGTCCTGGATTGCGAGAGGGATGTCCGACTGCTGGGATCGGGCCTAAACCAGCAGTCGGACATCCCCCATGGGGTCCTGGATTGGAGAGGGTGCAGGCCAGGCTGAGGGACCCTCCCCTGTGCATGAATTTCATGCACTGGGCCTCTAGTAGGAATATAAAAGCCTATCTTACCCTGGATAAAGCAGGGTAAGATAGGGCCAGAAAGTCAATTCTTTTTTAAAGAAAAGTTGATTCTTTTTTAAAAAGATAAAACTGATGCATCAGAAGAATTGCTGTACATATAGTTCAGAAGATGACAGACTAGTTAGCAAACTATATATGGCAAAATTCATATTCAAAGAGTCTGTGATTCTTTCTATGGATCTTTCAATTAATAAATTCATGCCCTAGCCATTTTGGCTCAGTCCACAGAGTGTTGGCCTGTGGACCGAAGGGTCTTGGGTTCGATTCCAGTCAAAGGCACATGCCCATGTTGCAGGCTCTATCCCCAGTAGGGGCTGTGTAGGAGGCAGCCAATCAAAGATTCTCTCTCATCACTGATGTTTCTAGCTCTCTCTCCCTCTCCCTTCCTCTCCGAAATCAATAAAAATATATTTTTAAAAAAATAATAATAATGACTAAAAAAAATCCTAGCCAGGTGATTCAGTTGGTTGGAGTATCATCTCATGTACCAAAAAGGTTTCGGGTTTGATTCCCAGTCAGGGGACATACCTACGTTGTGGGTCCAATCCCTGGTCAGGGCATGTACAGGAGGTAACTGATCAATATTCCTCTCTCTCTACCCTTCCCCTTCCTCTCTCTAAAATCAATAAACATATCCTCAGGTGAAGAACTTTTTTTTTATAATAATAATAATGACTAGAGAAAAATAATAAAGGCAGGTTTTTTCTTTCTACCTGCTCCTCCTGACCAGGGTTACTCTCCTTTCTATCTCATTATAGAAGAGAAGCAAAGCATGGTTTTCCCCTTTTAACTATAAAACTTTCTTTTAAACATTTTTTTAGTAATTAATAAAATTAACTTCTGTAAAACATTTAATATTTTGCTTTTAATTTCAGAAATTAGTACCATTTTTTCTCATAAAATTATTTCAGCTACTGAATGTACCAAAATATCAGGATATCTCCCTATTGGTACTCATTTCAAAATAAAAAGCTGCTTCATTTATTTTTCCATTTATATATATCATGCTAATGAATCTTGTACAGGCATCACTTTCTCTTATACTGTGTAAAATTCAGTCTGCCCTGAAAATTGCTTTTCGTTTCAAGTATTACATCAAGACATAGACAAACTACCTGAAGGTGCTCCAACCCAAGCCAGACCAAGAACACCATCATCAAAATCTCGGTCAGTGAAGACATAGGCCAAACAGTAGTCATCATGATTCTGCTCAGAATTCAATTCCAGAAACTTCTCCACACCAATATTTGGAAAACGAAAGGGATTTGTGGGGTCCTTCTCATCAGCAGTTGTATTGATCTAAAATTAAAAAAATAATTAATGTTAGCAGAGCCTTAGCGTAAGTCTCTATTCACCTCCTTCTGAATCCACCTGAACGATATGTTTGGGGCCCCTGGGAAATTAGGCCTCAATTAAGGCTTCTATGGTTGTACACACTACCTCCAAACCCCTTAGCTGATTTCAGAAGCCAAAAAGAAAAAAAGAAAGGCAAGGTGGAATGTGTTACATTTCTGAGCAAGTATTTAACAGATTCTTGAACACTTGTTAAGGAAAAACAAGTTCTTATTTCTAATCAAGTTCAGTTCCTAAATTCAATCATCTGAGCAAATCTCTTTTAGTGCGAAATCTCCTATATACTAGTATGGTGACAAGTATGAGAACATAAAACCCTGTATTTCAGCTAATCACTAGAACATAAAACAACCTTGGATCTTCCTTACAAGTTCAATTTTTTCTCGAGTGTGGCAAAAAATTATATATATACATATATTTTACTGCCAATTCATTTCCCTTACTACTTCAGGCTGAGTTCCTCTAGAATGTTTCTTTCTTTTTTAAAAGTATAAATTTTACTAGAGGCCTGATGCACAAAATTCATTCAAGAGTAGGCCTTCCTTCCCCCGGCTGCCGGCACCAGCTTTCCTCCAGCCACTGTCAGGCACCCAGGACCCAGGCTTCCCTCACAACCCCAGCTTCGTCTGGAAGGATGTTCAGTCTAAGTAGCATATTATGCCTTTATTATTATAGATTGATTTCAAAGAGGAAGACAGAGATAAAAATATCAATGATGAGAGAGAATCATTAATCAGCAGCCTCCTGCATGCCCCACACTGGGGATCGAGCCTGCAAACCGGGCATGTGCCCTGACCTGGAATTGAATCATGATCTCCTGGTTCATAGCTCGGTGCTCCACCACTGAGCAACACTGCCCAGGATAGAATGTTTCTTTTGACACTAGCTATTAAACTCCCAGTACAGGTTCCTCCTTCACAATTTGAAGAATAATGGTATTCTGATAACAAACTTCTGCTAAACAAAAGCTTTCATTTATCAGCCTCTAATTCATTTCAGAGGCCCCTATATGTCCTTTGAAGTCCTACAACAATCTGGCTTTCTTCAAATAAGTCAGAGAATTACATACAATATTGTTGCTAGAGAGTAAAAAGGGTAAGTATGATAGTAAACATTTTTTAAAAGGCAAACCTCAATCTACTGAAAATGTCAATAGTAAAGGGAGGCTATAAAAGCTAATAAAATAAGAATTACTTGTCTTTTTAGGATCTACAACTTTCAGTAAAACCAAGGGGCTTAGAAGCAGAATGGCAATTGCCTAAGGACTGATTTCAGAACATCTAACTTACCCATTAACAATTAACCAAAAAAAATCAGTTATGGTCATCTAACGCACATACACAAAAATCCAAAACCACCATGATATATCCTATCTAATAAAGAGGGAATATGTTAATTGACACTCACACCATCACAAAGATGGCGGTGCCCACAGCCAATGAGGGAATATGCTAATTGACTGCCCCACCCTCAAAGATGGCGGCACCCACAGCCAATGAGAAAATATGCTAATTGACGGCCCTGCCCTCAAACATGGCGCCCACAGCCAATGAGGGAATATGCTAATTGACTGCCCCGCCCTCAAAGATGGCAGTGCCCACAGTCAATAAGGAGGGAATATGCTGACTGCCCCGCCATCAAAGATGGTGACGCCCACAGCCAATAAGGAGTGAATATGCTAATTGACTGTCACGCCCTCAAAGATGGCGGCACCCACAGCTAATAACGAGGCTCAGATAACCAGGGCTGGCCGAGGCTTGCACTGCCGGCAGTGGCTGGGGCGTCACCTCCCCGTGAGAGATGGGTCCCCTCCTGCCCCTGAGGGCTCCCAGACTGTGAGAGGGGGCAGGCCGGGCTGAGGGACACCCCCCACCCCCAGTGCATGAATTTCCATGCACCTGGCCTCTACCCATACATTATATAGATGCATATATGTATATATGTATATGTATGTGTATTTGTGTATGTATATGTATCCTATCTAATAAAAGAGAAACATGGTAATTAGCCGTACCTCCGCTACCCTTCCCATTGGCTAATCAGGGAGATATGCAAATTAACTGCCAGCCAAGATGGCGGCCGGCAGCAAGGCAGCTGGAAGCGAACATGAGTCTTGCTTGCTTCAGTGACGGAGGTCTCCAACGTTCCCCGCCTGCCGCTGCCGGCCTCTGAGCTTGCAATTTGAAACATTGTTACAAATATAGAAGCTAAACAAAACCCCAGAAATCTGCTTTCAGCCAGCCGGGATCTCAGAGCTGGAGTTGAAACAGTGTTTCGATTACAGAACCCAAACAAACCAGATACCTGCTTTCAGCAGCTGAGGCCTAAGAGCTGGAGCCAAGCCGCAGAGCTAAAGCTGGCCCAGAATAAAAAAAAAAGAAAAGAAAAAAAGGAGCGGTTGGGAGCTTCAGTCACCTGCCAGCCTGAAAACAGCCCTCAGCCCCTCACCCAGACTGGCCAGGCACCCCAGTGGGGACTCCCACCCTGATCCAGGACACCCTTCAGGGCAAACCAGCTGGCCCCCACCCATGCACCAGGCCTCTATCCTATATAGTAAAAGGGTAATATGCCTCCCAGCACCGGGATCAGCGGAGCCAAGAGGCCTCCCGGCACCGGGATCAGCGTGACAGGGGGCAGCGCCCAAACCCCCTGATCGCCCTGCGGCTCTGTGTGTGACAAAGGGCGGGGCCACAACCTCCCTATCAGCCCTGCTCTGTGTGTGACAGGGTGCGGCGCCCCAACCCCCACCCCCTAATGGGCCCTGCTCTGTGTGTGACAGGGTAGAGCCATAACCTCCCCATCGGCCCTGCCTGGAGTGTGACAGTGGCAGCGCCCCAACCCCCTGATCGGCCCTGCTCTGTGGGTGATAGAGGGCGGCGCCCCAATCCCCTAATCAGCCCTGCTCTGTGGGTGATAGAGGGCGATGCCCCAACCGCCCCCCACGGGCCCTGCTCTGTGTGTGACGGGGTAGAGCCATAACCTCCCCATGGGCCCTGCCCTGAGTGTGACAGGGTGCGGCGCCCCAAACCCTGATCCGCCCTGCTCTGTGTGTGACGGGGGGCGGTGCCCCAACTCCCCTATCGGCCCTACTCTGTGAGTAACCGGGGGGAGCTCCCCAACCCCCGATGGGCCCTGCTCTGTGCGTGACAGGGGGGAGCTCCCAACCCCCTGTTCGACCCTGCTCTGTGCGTGACAGGGTATGGAGCCCCAACCCCCCTAATGGGCCCTGCTCTGTGAGTGACAGGGGGCAGTGCCCCAAACCCCTGATTGGCCCTGCTCTGTGTGTGACAGGGGGTAGCGCTGCAACCTGCCCATCGACCCTGCATTGAGTGTGACGGGGGCGGTGTCCCCACCCCCCAATCAGCCCTACCCTGAGCATGACTGAGGGTGGCATCGCAACCTCCCGATCCGCCCTGCTCTGTGCATGACAGGAGGTGATCCCCAACTCCCCAATCAGCCCTGCTCTGAGCCGACCAGGGGCTGCACCTAGGGATTGGGCCTGCCCTCTGCCACCCAGGCCCCCCCTCCCCACCGAGTGCACAAATTTTTGTGCACCGGGCCTCTAATATGTGTATATATACGTATGCTAGAGGCCCAGTGGACGAATTCGTGCACGGGCGGGGTCCCTCTGAGTGGCCTGCAGGGATCGGGCCGAAACCCGCAGTCCAACGCCGCCTGCAGCTCCTACCTGCCGCTCCCACTCATCTGTGTCTGCCGCGGGCTCATGCCCAATCAGTCCCTATCACGAGAAGCTCGCGCTTCCACAGCAGCGCTGGCCAGCCATGAGCCCTGCATCTGGCACCCACCCAAGGGGAGTGGCCTGCGGGATCAGACTGAAACCAGCTATCCAACATCCTCCAAGGGATCCCGGATTGCGAGAGGGTGCAGGCAAGCCTGAGGTACCCCACCAATGCATCGTCAGGCTGGGGAGGAACCGCGGGGAGGGCTCCAGGGCGTGTCTGGCCCATCTCGCTCAGTCCCAATTGGCCGGACCCCAGCAGCAAGCTAACCCAAAGTCAGAGCATCTACACCCTTGTGGTTAGTGCACATCACAGCAACTGGTCAACTGTCTGCCCCCTGGTGGTCAGCGCATGTCATAGTATCTAGTTACCTCTGACTAGAAATGGAACTGTGACCTCCTGGTTCATAAGTCCAGGTTCAACCCCTAAGCCATGCCAGCTGGGCTAGATTTTACTCTTAAATCATAAACCCAGGTATCCCTTCTGTGTGTGCACATATGTATGTGTGTGTATAAAAGCCAAGAGTAAAGATAAACTGCATCAGTAAATACAATGTAAACTATTGCATGCATAAAAAGCAAGCCTTCTTCTTTATGTAAACACTAGGAGATTAGCGTGCAATTCGAACTCGCGCAGCGCCCACCCACCTGCAAGCCCTGCCTTGACACCCAAACCTGTCCAGGCAGAGCTCCAGCATGCCTGGCCCAGCCCCCAAACCTTCTGGCCTTTCCTGGCCGCTTCAAGCCCCGCCCTCAGTCCCTCGAGTCACCTCGGGCTGGTCCTGCCTTCTCTGGGCACCTCCCCGCTTCCACCCAGTCTCTGGAGAAATGCATCAGCTCTGCCCCATCATGGCGCAGAAGGAGAGCATGGAAGCCTGCTGCTTGCTGCGCTATGCTCCTTACCCTGGCAGTTGGGTCATGAGGCACTCAGAGTGCAAGCAGTGGGTGGCGAAGGACTAGTGAGGGGGGCGCTATGGGCTCTCACCACTGCCCTCCCCGGCACGGGATGGTCCCGCCTCCTCTGGGCGCCTCCCCACTTCCGCCCCATCTCCAGAACAACGCCCCAGCTAATATGCTAATGACCTGGTCATTACCCGTTACAGCGCATCAACCATTAGCATATTAGCTCTTTATTAGTATAGATCAGGGGTCCTCAAACTACGGCCCGCAGGCCACATGCGGCCCTCCGAAAACATTTATCCGGCCCGCCAGGTGTTTTTGCCGCCGCTGCCTGTCCTGCTTATTAGTAGCCGACTCGTCCCAGGCCCGCAGTGCACATGTGTGGAATGTCTGAGGGACAGTGAACTGGCCCCCTGTTTAAAAAGTTTGAGGACCTCTGGTATAGATGGTCCTGATGTTTCTTTTTTTTAACGTATTTAATTATTAAAACTCCTTACTCAAAAAAACAATTAAAAATAAATAAATAAAACTCCTTACTCTTATGCGTTTCACCATGAAACTGATGTTACGAATTCCGGAGAAGTCTGTGGTCTGATAAATTGTATCAATTGCTTTAACATGACTGGATATCTACAGATTCAAAAACAAAAGAAAAACATTTTAGACACAATGTGAAAATGTGAAAAAGACTGAATTCCCATCTCCCAAATCAAGAATTATTCATGTTCCACCACATTCAAATTTTAAAATGTCTACACCATATACCAGATGAAAGAATGAAACATATTAGTGAGCTGGAGCTAAAAGGGAAGATTCTGTGCTTTTCCAGATTCTGGTCCCAATCAAATCTGCACTCTTCTCAGCTATATAAAATTTTGTTTCCTCAATCCATCCTATCATATGACACCTTTACGCCTTTTCACATGCTGTTCTCTAATGCCTAGGGCATCATCCTTCAGATTCAGTTCAGCTCAAACATCTCTGAGAACTTCCCTGGTACTATCAGGACACTCAGTTATTCTCTGACTTTGGTCTTTCTAATGCTGCACTAGTACAGTTTGGGTTGTTGCTTTTTCTGTAAGTTTTGGGCTTTTTTTCCCCACACTTTTTTAAAATTCATTTTCATTTTTTTGTTTTGTTGACCATTTACTATATACTAGACACTGTTTTAGGTGCTAGGGATATAATGGTAAACAAAATAGAAAAAGTCCCTATAAATTTACAGAAATTTATTTGCCAGGGTGATGGAGGGGAATAATAAAAAAACAAATAAGATGTTCAAATTTTGCTAAATTCTAGGAAGAGATTAACATGGTAATAGAATACAAAATAATACTCTGTTTATCTACCTATCAACTAAACTCTCTGGCTTCTAAACCACTCTGTACATAACCTTCCCATCTTCATTTACAAAAAGCACTTGCTACCATTTATGTAAAATATTGCATATATGTAATATTGTATATACATATATAGGGTGTCCCCCAAAAAATGTATACACAAAATGTCTGTAGATTCTATTACATTTTGAAAATGAAATATTTCTTAAAACACTGCCTTTATAATTATTCAAAGTATGTATTACATTTTTTGGGACACCCTGTATATATACTGTTTTCAAATAAATTATATAAACATACAATCGTTAAGAAGAAGCATTAACAATGATGATTTCAAAAGTAGTCTAAGTAGCCAAACATTGATAAAGAAAGTTCTAACAGTGCTGACAGATTACATTAAAAAGTCATGCTGCCTAACCTCAATTTGGCCTAGAAACCTTCTGAGTCTATTCCATTCTCAACAGTGGTGGTTCAAACATTTCTCCACAGGTTATTATATTTCATACTTTACTGACGTCCCATCTTTATCCACCTATCCCTTCCTTAAAGGGTAACTTCTCTTTATTCCTGACCCAAGTCCTTACTGGATCTTCAAGATCATTTTTCACATCAATTTTTTTTTCTCTTATATCTTACACTGCTTCCCTACTGTATTATTTTCCTCTTCCAACCAACTTCTCTGTAATCCCTACTTCCCTTTCACTCCCAAATATTATTGTAAGTCACCATATTTTTCTCTATTTTTCACCTTCCTTAGAATCTCACTGCCAACCCATTCTTTACTGTTTGCAATGTTTCCACCTTCACAATTCCATTGAGAGCATGCCTAAAGCTCATCAATAATCTCTAGTAACTGAAAATCAACTACATTTTGTACCTGTTCTCTTATGCCTAGGGTATCATCCTTAAGACTCAGCTCAGCTCAAACGTCTATATACCATCTTCTTAAAAAAGTCATTCTAGAAAATTTCTATTCAGGAGAAACCAAGATGGCGGCATAGGTAAACACTGGAAATTGCCTCACACAACCACTTCAAAAATACAACTAAAAGACAATACGGACACCATCCAGAACCACAGGAAGGCTGGCTGAGTGGAAATTCTACAACTAGAAGAAAAGAGAAAAGACTCAGAGGAGGTGCGGAAGTAAAGTGCAGAGGTACGGAGGCACATGTGGAAAGGGCTGGCATCTGAGGATGCCATTGTCTTTTTCAATTGAGAGGGAGTCTCAAGATCCCGACTGCTCTGAACTCCAGTTCCGGGCTAGTCTCTGCGGACCAGACTCATATGGGGAGAAACTGGACTGTCTGTCATCGGGTGGAATTCAAGGGTGGCTTTATCTCAGAGGTGTTTGTGGCGATTACCGCAGGACACAGACCCAGGGCCTCTTAGGGCAGGGCTGAGGATCAGCCATAGCTGTTTGCTCTGCCCTGTTGTCTTCCCGAGACCCCACCCCACCCAAGCTGTGCGCAGAAGCTTTTGCATATGAATGACCTGGCCCTTTGCAATCTGAAAATTACCTAACAAACTGCAACTGAGTCAGAGAGACCCAGAACATCCAAATGAAGGCCCAAGGCCCCACAGCAGCTTGCATTGCTTCACAGCTAGGCCTCATCTGGGCACCTCCAAACCCCAAACAAAGAAGAGGAATCTGCAGATCTCTCCGTAGCTCCTGCTGGGTAGCCTCAGGCAGAGGCTAAATTAGCACCTCCTTAGATCCAAGAGCCAGTGTACCCAGTGGTCAGAGTGGGACCATCAACATTACAACTCCTCAGATCCATAAGGGACACACTCAGGGGGCAGACTCAGTGAGCACCAAAGCCCCACTGAAGCAAGTCTTGCCCCAGAAGGGTGTCTCCAGCACAGAAGTTCTCCCACCATAGACACAGCTCATTCTCACAGCCAAATGGCCTGGAGGTCAATTCCTACCAGTGATACCTACAACAATCAAGGCTTAACTATAACAAGACTGTGCACACAGCCCACAAAGGGGTGCACCAAGAGTGTTCACCTCAGGTAACTGGGGAGGCTGAGCCACTGGGCCCTATAGGACACCTAGCACAGAAAGCCACTCTATCAACACAGGGAAGCAGCTAAAATGAGGAGACAGAAAAACAGGTCACAAATGAAAGAAATGGAGGAAAGCAAACTACTGGATATAGAGCTCAAAACCACTGTTATAAGGTTACTCAAGAATCTTCTAGAAACCACCAATAAATTTAGTGAGACCCTCCATAAATCTAGTGAGACCCTCGAGGATATGAAAAAGGACCAACTAAAAATTAAGAATACACTGACTGAAATTAAGGATATTATACAGAGATCCAACAGCAGACTAGAGAATCCCAAGAATCAAGTCAACGATTTGAAATACGAAGAAGCAAAAAACACCCAACCAGAAAAACAAAAAGAAAAAAGAATCCAAAAATATCAAGATAGTGTAAGGAGCCTCTGGGACAACTTCAAGCGAACCAACATCCAAATTATAGGAGTGCCAGAAAAAGAGAGAGCGCAAGATATTGAAAACCTATTTGAAGAAATCATGACAGAAAACTTCCCCTACCTAGTGAAAGAAATAGAAGTCCAGGAAGCACAGAGAACCCCAAACAAAAGAAATACAAAGAGGACCACACCAAGACACATCATCATTAAAATGCCAAGAGCAAAAGACAAAGAGAGAATCTTAAAAGCAGCAAGAGAAAAATAGTCAGTTACCTACAAGGGAGTACCCATACGATTGTCAGCTGATTTCTCAACAGAAACTATGCAGGCCAGAAGGGAGTGGCAAGAAATATTCAAAGTGATGAATAGCAAGAACCTACAACCAAGATTACTTTACCCAGCAAAGCTATCGTTCAGAATTGAAGGTCAGATAAAAAGCTCCACAGATAAGAAAAAGCTAAAGGAGTTCATCACCACCAAACCAGTATTATATGAAATGCTGAAAGGTATCCTTTAAGAAGAGGAAGAGGAAAAAGGTAAAGATAAAAATTATGAACAACAAATACACATCTATCAACAAGTGAATCTAAAAATCAAGTGAATAAATAATCTGATGAACAGAATAAACTGGTGAATATAATAGAATCAGGGGCATAGAAAGGGAGTGGACTGACAATTCTCGGGGGGAAACGGGTGTGGGGGTTTGGAAAGAGACTGGACAAAAATCGTACACCTATGTATGAGGACGGGGGCGGGGGGGTAAGGGCAGAGGGTGGGGCGGGAACCGGGTGGAGGGGAGCTATGGGGGGAAAAAAGAGGAACTATAATAATCTGAACAATAAATATTTAATTTTAAAAAAAAAGAAATAGTCACACATGTGGACAAAGATATGTAATGTATAGATATAAATGTTTATCTATATACATTTGCAACCAATTAAAATTAAGATAGAACCACAAAAAAAAGTCATTCTACTTTTTTCCACCATTATTGAGGTATAATCCTATATAATAAAGAGGTAATATGCAAATTGACCATCATGCCCTCACAAGATGGCTGCCTACGACGAGGCCAGCAGGAGGGTGAGGGATGACCAAACAACTGAACAGCAGGCTACATGGGGTGAACAGGCCGGCGGGTGGGGGGCGGGGGGGCCGTGAGGGGAGACCAGGCCTACAGGGGGGCAATTGGGGGCAACCCGGCCAGCAGGGGGGGCAGTTGGGGGTGACCAAGCCAGCAGGGGGGGACAGTTAGGGTCAACCAGGCTGGCAGGGGGAGCAGTAAGGGGTGACCAGGCTGGCATTGGGGGGCAGTTAGGGGCGACCAGGCAGGCAGCCAGGTGAGCGGTTATTGTGAGAGGTACGTCCGATTGCTGGTTTAGGCCCGATCCCTAGAATCGGGCCTAAACCGGCAGTTAGACATCCCCCAAGGGGTCCCGGATTGGAGAGGGTGCAGGCTGGGCTAGGCATGAATTTTGTGCACTGGGCCTCGTTAATAAATAAAACTGTACGATATTTAAATATCTTGATATATATGTGTACATTGAGAATTCCTGCCATCTAACACATTTCATCATTCTCTTTGATATCTCTGTAAGATGACACTATTGGCTGTGCATTTTTGCTTTGAAACTTTGTTTCTAACTTGGCTAATTATTTAATACTACCTCTTTAACTATTATGTTTTAGCCCATTGTTTCTCTTCCTCATTCTATTCACTATATATAGATATTCTTTCCCAGTTTCTTCCCTTTTGATTTCATTCTTTCCCTTTCATTCTCTCTCCTTTTAATGTACCACCTATATCTCCTTTATGCCAAGAAATTCCATGCAAAAAGTTCAAACCTCTCCTAAGTTCCAGTTCTACATTTTCAATATCCTAATGGAATTACTACCTGGCTTTTAGACATATCTAAAATTAAGCTCATCACCACCACCAAAATGAATTCACCAGTTATAGAATGGCACATTCATTCTCAGTCTCAAATCCTTAAAGTCAAAAGGTATCTCACTGGATACCTTCAACATGAGAACATATTGAAGGGTATATCTAAATACTTTATACTTTAGAAAGGATTAAGACACAAATGCAAATAATAAGGTAACTTAGAAAGTGCTAAGTACAATGGGTATACAGAACAGAAATTAAATACTTCTTATTGAAACAATTCCTCTATCTTTCCCTCTATTAAAACCACAATTGAAATTCAATCCTCTTTTCAAAGCTAAGCTCCAGTGTCATCTCCTTCATGAAATCATTTTCTTACACCTCTCTTTTGAATGACACAAATATCTTAACTGGTCTTTCAGCTATTTGTATAGTTATCTTACATATTTCATCATATCATAATTGAAAATACATACTTTTTATTTTTCCAAAATGAGATATGTGCTAACTTTAATTTTAGAGGAAAATATAGCTATTACAATACAAGAGCTCCTAAAATAGTAGGAAAATTATAAGTACCTGAGCAATCACGGCTTCTCGTGTCCCATAATATTTAAAGAATAGATGATCAGTCTGAATATAAAGCTGACAAGTATTTTTTTCAGCTAAAGTTGTACGTTTTTTCCTCAAGAGTTCTGGACCATTATTAACAGCATGTTCTTTAGGTGTCTGTCAAAAAGAGAGTCATTTCTAATCATTAGCATGCTTCACTAATATAATTTTATATAGTATACTTTAAAAACAATTTCATATTCTGCTTTATTATGAGTAGACATTAAAAAATTCATGTTATAAATAAGAGTACACATTATAAAATATTTCATATCCTGCTTTATTATGTAACATCATAGACATTTCCCCATGCCATTAAAAATTCTTCATAAACATCACTTTCAGACTCATAACATCTACTGCATAGATGTATTACTTATTCAAGAGATTCTTTCACTTTTACACATTTTCAAAATATACCTTTTAATATGTAATTATTTGAATATAAAGCAAGTCTTATAGTAGTTTATAATACTTTGATATCTTCTTCCACCTCACCTCTATAAACCCAATGTATTACCAACCCATCAAAATTTGGCTCCTAAATACCTAAAAAACCTGTCTCCATCACATTAGTCCAAACTACCATCACTTATTACCTAGAGTACTAGAATAAAAACAATGTAATCTATCCACATCCACTACTAGCCTTTAATGTATTCTCTATACTGTAATCTTTTCAAAATGCAAACTTGAAAATATTACTTACTTCTATAATATATTTCAATGACTTCCCATTGCTTTACGGATAAAGTCCTAAATTCTGTATATGGCATCAAATAAGTACTGCAGACTCTAATTACCTGTCCAGTTTCTTCCCATTCCATATTATTTCACAGAGAGACCCTATTGCATTACCCAACTCTAGCCCTCTTTCCAATCCTCCAACACACAGTCTGTCTCCTGCCAGTCCTTGCACATGCTGATGCTACCTCTCCTGATCTAACATCTTCTTTCAGACTTAGCAAAGGTCAATTCATCCATTATACCACCTCATAAAACCATGTACCCATGTCCATACATAGAGTAATCTTACAATTTATTGTGTGGTTATTTGATTAATTTCTATCCCCACCCCAACACCTATTACTTCATGAATTTTAGAAAAAAGACACTTATCTCTGTTTGCTTATCACTAAACTAGAGTCAGGGTGCACAAATCCGTGCACGGGTGGGGTCCGGCCGGCCAGGACCAGCGGGGACGAGGTGACACAGGAGGTTGGTTGCTGGCCCCACCCCCCATCGAGGTTGTGGGGAGCCAATCGGGCCAGTTGGTTGCCACAGTGCACGTCATAGCAACCAGTTATCCTGGTCATTCCGTTGTTCCAGTCGCTTGGCTTTTATATCTACAGATTGTTCTCACCTAACACACACTTGGCAGGCAAACTGAATGCTCAAATCAGTAGTATTTGTTTAAAGAATTACCACTGCAATTGAATCCAAATACTTAAACAATTGTTGACATGTAAAAGAACCATTTTAAATGAAGTTTGGACCACCGTTTCCTTGTTGATTTTCTATCTGGAAGATCTATCCAGTCAATGGGGTGTTAAAACCCCCTACTATGAGTTTATTACTGTCAATCTCTCCCTTTATGTTCATCAAGATTTGCTTTACATATTTAGGTACTTCTATGTTGAGTGCATAAATGTTTACAAGTGTTATATCCTCTTGTTGGATTGCTCCCTTTATCACTATATAGTGTCCTTTTTTGTCTCCTACTATAGCCTTTGTTTTAAAGTCTATTTTGTCAGATGTAAGTATTGCTAGCCCAGCATTTCCCCCTTTCCATTCACATAAATTATCTTTATCCACTCCTTCTATATAAAAATTTTAAATGAGAAAAAAATGTCCTTTATATTTACCTACATATTTACTATGTTATGCTCTTCACTTCTTTGCATAGATCTATATTTCTATCTCTTATTCTTTTTCTACCTGGAGAGCTTCCTTTAACAATTCTTGCAGTGTAAATCTCTTACAAATTCTCTCAGCCTGTTTGTGTGAAACAGATCTTTAATTTGCCCTCATTCTTGAAAATTATTTTACAAAATATAGAATCCTAGTTTGGTAGTTTTTTCCCCAGCACACTTTGAAGATGTCATTATGTAATCTTCAGTTTGCACTGTGTAATGAGAAGCCAGAAGTTATTCTTACAGTTGTTTCCCTGGATATAAATGTATCTTCTTTTCTCTAGCTGCTTTTATTTATGGTTTTCTCATTTTCAGTGGTTTCCAATAATTTGACTGTAATATGCCCTAGTACAGTTTTCCTTGTGTTTATCCTACCTGGGTTTCATTGAGATTCCTGAGCCATGAATTTTGGAGACATTAATATTTCAAATATTTTTCCTGTATCCGCTGTCCCAGGGCTCCCATTATTTTCTCTTTGTGCTTAGCTCTGGATAGTTTCTATTTTTTACTGTCCTTTATTTACCCATGTTGCCTTCTGCAGTAAATAATTTGCTCTTAAGCCTATCCATTAAATTTCAATTAAGAAAATGTACTTTTCAGTTCTACAAGTTTCATTTAGTTCTTTATTATAATTTCGATTATCTCCTCTTTGTTTTCAGATTTTTCTGTTATTCTTTGAATGTATTTATAACCATTATCTTAAGTCCTTCTGTGCTAATGCCTATAATTTCTGGTTCTGTTTTTATCTGGGTGGCTTTTCTCCTGATTATAGATCACATTTTTCAACTTTCTGTCACCTAGTAATATTTTATGAATGCTGGACTCTGTTAATGTTACATTATTGAGTATCTGCATTCTGTGTACTCTTTCTTCATTGCTAATCCTCACCCTAAAATATTTTTTCCCATTGATTTTTAGAGAGAGTGGAAAGGAGGCAGGGAGGAGGAAAGAGAGACACATTGATGTGAAAGACACATCGATCCGTTGCCTCCTGCACATACCCCAACCGGGGCCAGGGATCAAACCCACAACCCAGATACATGTCCTAGTCCAGGAATCAAATCCAGAATCCTTCAGTGCTCGGGCCAGCACTCTAACCACTGTGCAAAACTGGCCAGGGCTATGTACTCTTTTAACAAGTATTATTGAACTTTGTTCTGACAAACAGTTAATTTACCTGAAAGTCAACTTGATCTTTTTGGAGTTTGGTTTTTCCACTTAGTTAGGGCAGGTCTCCAGTAGCTTTTAACTCTAGGGTGAAATTAGCCTTACTCTTAATATGGCTTGGGATCTCTACAAAGTATAATTTCTAATAGTACATTGATTCCACAGTAGTTTTTCTTTCTCTGGTAGTTTCCTCATAGAATTTCACCCTATGCATGTATAGCTTAGTATTCATCTAAAACTAAAGGAAACATTTGTGCAGATATCTGGAGCTTTTTCTAGGTGTAGCTGTCTCCTGTCAAACTCTGCCTACTTGAACTTTGACCTGTCTCTTCAACTCAGTAAGATTGCTGTGCACTTTTTGCTCTTGTTGAGATCCCCTTCCCTGTGACACACCTGAAATTTTGCCTCCAGTCATGAAGTCAGGAAAATCAGAGATATTTATATTTCCCTCTCAACATCGCATCCTGTACTGCCTGCTTCCAATGTTTGAAAACAACTGTTTCATATATTTTGTTTAGTTTCGTGTTTTCTGCAAGAAAGCTATGTGGATACCCATTATTCAATCATAACTGGAAAGGGAAATCTTAATATTTTTACTAAAAGTTTCAATGTTTTCATTTTAGACATTTAATACTTTAATCTATCTGAAGTTTTGTTTTGTTTTAAATAAGAGATAGAGATCCAACTTCATCTTTTTCTAAATCGTTAAACATTAGAAAAGTATTTCTGGCTCCATTTTTTCTGGCTCCATTTATTCAACCATCTTTACTTTTCCTCACTGATTTGAGATTCTAACTCTACCAAATAACAGTTTCATATCTGCATTTGTTTTCATCTCTATGTTAAGATTATACTCTCATTTAGTATAATAATTTTTAATCCCTTCTAGGGCAAATCCCTCTTGCCTGTTCATCACCTTTAGATTGGCCCTACTTCTTCTTAGTCTTTACTTTTCTGTATAGCATTTTAGACCCATCTAAGTGCTGTGAATAACCCTTTTGTAATTTGCATCAAAATTATATTTAATCTATTAATCAACATGGAAAAATTAATATTTTTATGATATACTAGAGGCCCGGTGCACAAAAATTTGTGCACTCGGAGGGGGAGGGCCCTCGGCCCAGCCTATGCCCTCTCGCAGTCTGGGACTCCTTTGGGGATGTCCACCTGCTGGCTTAGGCCCACTCCCGGGGGATCCGCCCTAAGCTGGCAATCAGACATCCCTCTGGTAGCCCAGGAGCCCTCGGGGGATGTCCACTTGCCAGTGGGGACTAGGCCTAAGCTGCAGTTGGACATCCTTAGCGCTGCTGAGGAGGCAGGAGAGGCTCCCGCCATCAATGCTGTGCTGGCAGCCGTCAGCCTGGCTTGTGGCTGAGCAGAGCTCCCCCTGTGGGAGCACAGTGACGACCAGGGGCAGCTCCTGCATTGAGCATCTGCCCCCTGGTGGTCAGTGTGTGTCATAGTGACCAGTTACTCCCAGTCGTTCTGCTGTTAGGGTCAATTTGCATATTACCCTTTTATTATATGCCTGGTGCATGGGCGGGGGCTGGCTGGTTTGCCCTGAAGGGTGTCCGGTCAGGATGGGGGTCCCGCTGGGGTGCCTGGCCAGAATCAGTGAGGGGCTGAGGGCTGTTTTCAGTCTGACCACACCCCCTTCAGGGTGGGGGTCCCTGCTGGAGTGCCTGGCTAGCCTGGGTAAGGGGCTGAGGGCAGTTTACAGACTGGCCACACCCCCTTCAGGGAGGGGAGTCCTGCTGGGGTACCTGGCCAGGCTAGGTGAGTGGCTGATGGCTGTTTGCAGGCTGGCCACAGCCCCTTCAGGGTGGGGGTCCCCGCTGGGGTGCCTGACCAGCCTGGGTGAGGGGCTGATGGCTGTTTGCAGGCTGGCCACGGTGCCCAGCCACCCAAGCTCCCAGTGGAGGCTGGCTGGAAGCAGGTATCTGGGATTTATTAATCTTCTATAATTGAAGCTTTGTTGCCTTTAGCGGAGACCACAGCCGGCCAGGGCAGGCAGGAAGCTTGGCTTCCTCCATCGCCAGGGCAACCAAGCCTCCTGCTTGCTCCAGCTCCATGGCTGCCAGCCGCCATCTTGGTTGGGTTAATTTGCATATAGTCGCTCTGATTGGCTGGTGGGTATGGCTTGGGGCATAGCGAAGTTATGGTCAATTTGCATGTTTCTCTTTTATTAGATTAGATTATTTTTCCATTAACAAGGTATGTCTCTCCATTTACTTAAAATTAATCTTCTTGCCTGGCCGCAGTGGCTCAGTGGTTGAGAATCTCATGGTTCAATTCCTGGTCAGTGCACATGCCCGGGTTGAGGGCTCAATCCCCAGAGGGTCGTGCAGGAGGCAGCCAATCAATGATTCTCTCATCATTGATGCTTCTATCTCTCTCTCTCTCTCCCTTCCTCAATAATAATATATTTATAAATAAATAAATAGCCCTGGATGGTTTGGCTCACTGGATAGAGCGTCGGCCTGGGGACTGACGGGTCCCAGGTTCGATTCCGGTCAAGGGCATGTACCTTGGTTGCGGGCACATTCCCAGTAGGGGGTGTGCAGGAGGCAGCTGATCGATGCTACTCTCATTGATGTTTCTAACTCTCTATCCCTCTCCCCTCCTCTCTGTAAAAAATCAATAAAATATATTTTTTAAAAATAAATAAAGTAATCTTAACACATCTTATATAGCTTCATAATTTTCCTTAATTATGTCTTATAATTCTTTGTTACATTTATTCTTCAATACATGATATTCTTGATATTATTAACAATGTCTTCTCTTTTGTTACATTTCTGATAGTCTATTACTGGATATAGGCCATCCTAGGTGGCCTGGCTCAGTGGATATAATGTCGGCCTGCAGACTGAAGAGTCCCAGGTTCGATTCCGGTCAAGAGCACATGCCCGGGTTGTGGGCTCAATCCCCAGTGGGGGGTATGCAGGGGGGTGTGCAGGGGGTATGTCTCTCTCCCTCTCCCTTCCTCTCTGAAATCAATAAAAATATATTTAAAAGCCGTAGCCGGTTTGGCTCAGTGGATAGAGCGTCGGACTGCGGACTGAAGGGTCCCCGGTTCGATTCCGGTCAATGGCATGTACCTTGGTTGTGGGCACATCTCCAGTGGGGAATGTGCAGGAGGCAGCTGATAGATGTTTCTCTCTCATCGATGTTTCTAACTCTCTATCTCTCTCCCTTCCTCTCTGTAAAAAATCAATAAAATATTAAAAATATATATATATATATATTTAAAAAACAACAAAAAGAGAAATGTGACCTATTTTGTATATTAACTTTATATCTAGCCACTGTTAAACTCTGCTATATCTAGCAATCTATAGTCTTGTCCTCTCCACATTGCTGACACTTAGAACAAATCATTTTTCTACTGAATAACTGCAATAACTTCTAATTAGTCTCCTAGTCTCTAATCTTACACCCCACTCTAGGGTTAAAAATTATTTACCAGTCTTACTATCTCTCTGGCCTTTAATAATCTCTACTACCTCTGAGGTATGTAGACATATCTCAGAGATATCACAGGTTCGGGATCAGAACACCATCAATAAAGTGAGTATAGCAATAAAGCGAGTCTTCATCTTTTTGCTTCATTTGGTAAAAAACAACATCTGTGAAGTGCAATAAAACAAAGTATGCCTGTATACGGCCTTTCCACCTATTCATGCCCAACCTCACTCTTACTTATTCTTTTAGTGTATGACTACTGTCCTCAATTACTTCTCAGTTTAGATTAACAATTCCTCCTATATATAGAGCAGGGGTCCTCAAACTACGGCCCGCAGGCCACATGCGGCCCGCCAAAAACATTTATCCGGCCCGCCGGGTGTTTTTGCTGCCGCTGCCTGTCCTGCTTATTAGTAGCCAACTCGTCCGGGGCCCGCAGTGCGCATGTGTGGAATGTCTGAGGGACAGTGAACTGGCCCCCTGTTTAAAAAGTTTGAGGACCTCTGGTATAGAGCATCGTTCTATACTTAATCCTCTTCTATCCCTTACCCTCAATTGTATCTCTGTGTCTCCAAGTAAATGATAAACTTTTTGAGGATAAATCTTTGTCTTAATCTCCACATATTTCTAGAACCAGCAGTCTCTGACAATATGGCAGATCAATACATAGTTTTTCAATGAATGCAAGAATAAAATCTCACTTATACTTGAAAGTCCCACCTGAAACAGAATTGTTTGTGCATGCTGCAGATCAAGAAACACACAAATCTGCATTTGTATCTCAAGTAGCTCAAGAAACATTACTCTAGCCTACTACTTTTAGAAAGAATGTCTAAACTACATGATAAATGTTTTATCATAAAAATATTTTTATTTTCATTTTAAACTTGCTTTGAATTTATTTTTTAAGAGAGAGGGAAAGAGGGAGAGAGGGAGAGGGGGAGAAGGGGAGAGGGGGAGAGGGGGAGAGGGGGAAAAAGGGAGAGGGAGAGGGAGAGTAACATCGATGTGAAAGAGAAACATGGATCAGTTGCCTCCCACACGCGCCCCAACGCGGGCACAAACCTGAAAACCTGGGCAAATGCCCTGACTGGGAATCAAGTCCACCACCTTTTGTTGTATGGGAGGACGTTCCAACCAACTGAGCCACACTGGCCAGGGCTAAACTTATGTTTTAAATAACTATAAACCTATCCCTTATTACAGGAAAAAGGAGATCAAAAAAAGAATAAAAGAACAACAGTCAAATGGCAAAATATCTTACAATTAAAATATCAACAGCACTGTGATTATTATTAGGGTGGCTAATGATCTCAGTTTGCTTAAAGACACATGACTTTCAGTGTTAAACTGGGAAGTCCCAGTCAAACAAGGGGAAGTTGACCAGTCTAATTTTAATATTAATAGAAATAGTTACATTTATAGAAAACACAAGTTCAAACTGATTGTTTTTTAAATTAAGACTCACTATGTTTCGGACATATAATGTAATGTTAGTGAGACACACAGATTTGTTTCAAATCTCAGCACTATGTCTTTATTATAGGCAAGCTAACTGGCTTCTTTAAGCATTAAAAAATTTCAATATTTCTCCAGTGTTATAAGTATTTCAGAAATTCTAGAACAAACATATTTAATGCAGGAACACATGCCCAAGTTCATTTTCATTTCTTAAATGCAAGCTAGTATTAAAATCCTTACCTGTGTTACTTCCTCTACACCAGTCATCTGGTACTTCCTCATCCTTTCAAATACTGAATGATCTGCACAGCCCCCCTGTGGACCATATTTATGGGGGTAGTCTAAAACACAAAGAAATATCATTTTTTGTCACATGTTTAGGTATTATGAATTATCTTATAAATGAAAATTTAACTGTCATAAGTAATATAGGAAAAGAATTATGCTAGGCATTCTAATTTTCAAACCTGGTAGGTTCCCAAGTTCTCCCTCAATAAAACATCACTGGTCTATAGAACTTTATCATACAGATAATTAGTTAATTCTAAAAACAATAATCATTGTTTATTCTGAGTTGAACTTTCCCCACCTTTCCCACTTTGGATATACAGAGCATCTTAATAGTGCAATTTACTTTATTTTGTAATGTGTAACTTTCCCTTCAAACATATTAAATTCCTATGCTGCAAAGCACAAAACCACCTCAATCTGAACTACAATTAAGCTAATATAATGTTACATTTGGCTTGAATTCCTCCCATGCATACCAACTGGCCTAAGAACCAAGCTCTATGGCACAGTAAAAGCAGACAGAGTTTAAATTTATTCAATGCATACTTCAAGCAAATGCTTTATAAACCAATAACTATTTTATCACCATTTTTCTCCTTTTATAAGCAATGATTCATTTATCCTTAAATGAGTTGGGTCTATTTCCAGATAGCTGTTCAATTTGGTCACTTAAAAGTTTACTCCACTCTCTCAAAATTCACATACTTCTCCATTGTTAAGGTCCTACTTAGTTCATGAACATATTTTATTTATTTTTTTTTTTAATTTTTATTGCTTAAAGTATTACAAAGGGTATTACATATGTGTCCATTTTATCCCCCCGCCCTAGACAGTCCCCTAGCCTCCCCTATCCCCCAATGTCTTATGTCCACTGGTTATGCTTATATGCATGCATACAAGTCCTTTAGTTGATCTCTTACCCCCCTACCTCCTGCCCCGCAACCCTCCCCGGCCTTCCTGCTGCAGTTTGACAATCTGTTTGAGGCAGCTCTGCCTCTGTATCTATTATTGTTCAAAAGTTTATAATGGTCTCTATTATCCATGAATGAGTGAGATCATGTGGTATTTTTCCTTCATTGACTGGCTTATTTCACTTAGCATAATGCTCTCCAGTTCCATCCATGACGTTGCAAATGGTAAGAGTTCCTTCCTTTTTAGAGCAGCATAGTATTCCATCGTGTAGATGTACCACAGTTTTCTAATCCATTCATCTACTGATGGGCACTTAGGCTGTTTCCAGATCTTAGCTATGGTGAATTGTGCTGCTATGAACATAGGGGTGCATATATCCTTTCTGATTGGTGTTTCTGGTTTCTTGGGATATATTCCTAGAAGTGGGATCACAGGGTCAAATGGGAGTTCCATTTGTAGTTTTTTGAGGAAACTCCATACTGTCTTCCATAGTGGCTGCACCAGTCTGCATTCCCACCAGCAGTGCACAAGTGTTCCTTTTTCTCCACATCCTCTCCAGCACTTGTCGTTTGTTGATTTGTTGATGATAGCCAGTCTGACAGGTGTGAGATGGTACCTCATTGTTGTTTTGATTTGCATCTCTCGGATGATTAGTGACTTTGAGCATGTTTTCATATGTCTCTTGGCTTTCTGAATGTCCTCTTTTGAAAGGTGTCTATTTAGGTCCTTTGCCCATTTTTTGACTGGATTGTTTATCTTCCTTTTGTTAAGTTGTATGAGTTCCCTATAAATTTTGGAGATTAGGCCCTTATCAGATATGACATTGGCAAATATGTTTTCCCACACAGTGGGTTTTCTCGTTGTTTTGTTGATGGTTTCTTTTGCTGTGCAGAAGCTTTTTATTTTGATGTAGTCCCATTTGTTCATTTTCTCTTTCGTTTCAAGTGCCCTAGGAGCTGTATCAGTGAAGAAATTGCTTCGGCATATGTCTGAGATTTTGTTGCCTTTGGATTCTTCTAGAATTTTTATGGTTTCCTGTCGTACATTTAAGTCCTTTATCCATTTTGAGTTTATTTTTGTGTATGGTGTAAGTTGGTGGTCTAGTTTCATTTTCTTGCATATATCTGTCCAATTTTCCCAACACCATTTATTGAAGAGACTATCTTGGCTCCATTGTATGTTCTTGCCTCCTTTGTCAAATATTAATTGAGCATATTGGTTCGGGCCGATTTCTGGGCTCTCTATTCTATTCCATTGATCTATATGCCTATTCTTGTACCAGTACCAGGCAGTTTTGAGAACAGTGGCTTTGTAATACATCTTGATATCTGGTATTGAGATCCCACCTACTTTGGTCTTTTTCAGGATTGCTGCAGCTATTCGGGGTCTTTTTTTATTCCAGATGAATTTTTGGAGAGTTCGTTCTAGATCTCTGAAGTATGCCATTGGTATTTTAATGGGAAGTGCATTGAATTTATAGATTGCTTTGGGTAGTATGGACATTTTAATGATGTTGATTCTACCAATCCATGAACACGGTATGTTCTTCCATCTGTTTATGTCTTCCTCTATATCATTTTTCAACGTCCTGTAGTTTCATGAACATATTTTATAATTCAATCTACTAACCATAATTAAGAGAATTGTCAAAATAAAATACCAAGACATGGGTGAAAGGAGAAGCACTGAAAAATCCTTAAGTAGCTTACAGAATCAATCCACAGAATTATAATTAGAAACACTGCAGGTAGTTAATTAAGAAAAATCTAGAACCTAAAGTGCATACTAGTAGCCTATTTCATTGAAAATACAAATTAAATACTACAATACAAATCTAAACTGGCATGTAGAAACTAGGTATTATGAACAATCTATCTACACTGATAAACAGCTCTGATTTTACATTTTAAATTAGTTTTTATCTTTTGTCAAGATTGCCAACAGCTGTAAAATTCAAATCAATCAATGTGAAAGAAATGATAGACTTAAAAGTCACTATTTCCAAGCCAACATACTGGTATATTAGTAAATGAAGCAAAGGATCATCAATGGGTGCTAAAACCACTGAGTGAAAGATGGGAGCATATTCATAGTCTCGTAAAGCATAACCCCACAGATTAGTTAATAATTATAAAGGAAAAATGTATCTTTACATCAAAGCTATATAATAATTACCACCTCATTTACCAAGTGATCAAATTAAGCATTACCAATAGGACAACTTGATATTGTGTCTCCTACTGTGATGCAGTTAAGAAACATTCAGCTTCACCTATGCAATATTCTTGCCAAAATATGTTAACTGAACCTAATCACGAATAAACAGACACACCAAGAATGTGAAACATTCTATAACTCATTGCCTTAGACATGTGAAAAAAGGCAATGTCATTTAAAGAAATAGTTGCCCTGGCCTGTGTTGCTCAGTGATTAGCAGCGGTTCTCAACCTGTGGGTCACGACCCCTTTGGCGGTCCAACGACCCCTTTCACAGGGGTTGCCTAAGACCATCCTGCATATCAGATATTTACATTACGATTCATAACAATAGCAACATTAGAGTTATGAAGTAGCAACGAAAATAATTTTATGGTTGGGTCACAACATGAGGAACTGTATGTAAAGGGCCAGAAGGTTGAGAACCACTGGATTAGAGCGTCGGCTTGAAGGGTCTCGGAGTCAAGAGCAGTACCTAAGTTGTGGGCTTGCTCCCCGGCCCCCGTTAGGGCATGTGCTGTAGACAACCAGTCAATGTGAAACACACTGATGCTTCTCTTTCTCTCTATCTCTCCTTCCCTTCCCTCCCTCTCTCTCTCCCCGTTCCCAACCTCTATTCCACTCTGAAAAATCAATGAAAAAAATATCCTCAGGTGATGATTAATAAAAAAAAATAAAAATTAAAAATAAAAGTAAAAAACTGAGAACTGGAGGGTGGAGGAGCCTGGAAGTTAAGACACTTAAAAGAGATATAATAAATGCCAAAAAAATAATAATATTTTTAGAACTGGATAAATTTCATTTTAGTCTGTATAGTAAATGATATTAAAGTTCATTTTTAGGGGATGAAACACTTATTATTGTCATTTTAAAAATGTATATATTCTTAGGAGATGTGTGCTGCAGTATTTAGCAGTGGTGGCTCATGCAGTCTGTAGCCTACCTTCAAATGGTCCCCAAAAAAAATGTGTTGAGGGAAGTATAAAATGTTTTACAAAATGGTAAACTAGGGAGAAGGATGTATGCGTTCCTGTATAATTCTTTAAACATTTTTTTAAGTTTGAAATTTTCAAAATTAAACTAGAACTCAAAAACTGCAATATCAGTAGAACAAGTTAAAATTACTTTGAAGTGGAAAAATAACACAACTGAAAAGATGAACATGGCTCAGTGGTTGAGTGTCACCCTATGAACCAGGAGGTCATGGTTTGATTTCCCATCAGGGCATATGACCAGGTTGTGGGCTCAATCCCGTGTGAGGTGTGCAGAAAAAAGGCAGCCTATCAATGATCTTCTCTCATCATTGCTCTATTTCTCTCTCCCTCTCCCTTCCTCTCTGAAATCAATTAAAAAAATCCATATATATTTAAAGAAGAAAAAACACTAATACATTTATTACTGTATCATTTCAAGTGCTCACTTTAGCAAAGTGAAAATATAGTACCATCCCACATATATTTAATAAGAATCTACCACAGAGAAACCAAGATGGCGGCATAGGTTAATGCCGGAGATCGCTGCCTCAAACAACCACTTCAGAGATATAACTAAAGGACAGAACGGACATCACCCAGAACCACGGGAAGGCTGGCTGAGTGGAAATTCTACAACTAGGAGGAAAGAGAATATCATACCCAGACTCAGAGGAGGCGCAGTGCTGAAGTGAAATACTCAGGTGCGGAGTGCGCGCGCGCGGAGCGGGCTGGCGGCGGAGGGCGCGGTTGTTGTTTTCAATCGGGAGGGAGTTTCAGACTCTGAGCTCCAGATCCGGGCGAGTCTCTGGGGACCGAGACTCAAACGGGAGAAACGGGACTGTCTGGCTTCGGTCGGAACTCGAAGGCAGCTTTCTCTCCGAGGTTTGCAACCATTGCTGGGGCTCTGAGAGGCAGAGCCCCTGGGGAAGGAACTGAGAGTCGCCATAA